CATGACTTAATTTTATAACTGGAAATTTGTTCCCTTTTACCCCCTTCACCTAATCTTGAAAGTGGCATGTCATGACATCCTACATAATAAAAGGGTAATATGCAAATCAACTGAACAGCAGAATGACCAGTCACTCTGACGAGCACTGACCACCAGGGGGCAAATGTTCAATGCAGGAGCTGCCCCCTGGTGGTCAGTGCGCTACCACAGGGGAGCGCTGCTCAGCCACAAGCCCTGAGCTGGGCTCATGGCTGGCAAGCGCAACGGCAGTGATGGTAGCCTTTCCCACCTCCGTGGCAGCGCTAAGGATGTCCTACTGCCAGCTTGGAATGGCAGCACTAAGGATGTCCTAAGCCCAGCAGTTGGAAAGGACATCCCTCGAGGGCTCCTGGACTGCGAGAGGTTGCAGGCTGGGCTGAGGGACCCCCTTTCCCCCAGTGCACGAATGTTGTGAACCAGCTTCTAGTCTACTATATGTTACTAGCTACCCAGACTAATACAATACGAAGACTTTGGTACAGTATGGATGGGGACTACCCAAGGATGTGGGTATGAGGAGGAGGAGATCATTGGGGGTCATCTTGGAGGGTACTATCTTAATTTATGTTAATATTGTTATGTACTTAAAATTTAATACATATTTCCATCCCTGTAAGAAACTGTTGCTATTTTAAACAGTGTGTCTTAAGATTTATCCACAATATTTACTTTCGTCAGTCTACATTTTTTTCTGTGTCTCCAAGTTTCCATATGGAGTAATTTTCCTTCCATTCTGCAGACTGTTTTGCATTTCCTTTAATTCAGATCTTCTGGTAAAATTCTATCAACTTATTTATCTAAAAATAGCTTTTTCTGAAAGATCTTTTCTATGGTCATAGAATTCTAGGGTAGCAGTTATTTTTTCTCAGCACATTAAAAGTATTTTCTTCCATTTTCTTTTGAGAAATCATTTCTTTGTTATATCCTTACTTTGAAGGTATCATATCTGTTTTTTCTGGCTACAATAAGGAATATCTTTTTACCTTTGCTTTTCAACAGATTTACCGAGTATGGTTTTGTTTATGTATTTTTTTCAGCTTGGGATTCACAAAATTTCTTGAGTCTGTAGCATGATACCTTTCATTGGTTTTAGGAAATTCTCAGCTATTATTACCTCCAGAATTACTTTCACCCCATTCTTTATTCTCTTTTTAAGAGTTAATGTATATGTATGGTAAACTTATTCACTGTATTCCATGTGTCCCTTTGCTTTTTTATTTTCCATTCTTTAATATGTATATTATACACATACTATCATTTACTTTACAAATTCTGTCTTTTTCTTTTTTTAATCTAGTATTTTATCTAAATATTAAGTCCTTAATTCTTAATTTTTTCATATTATTCAGTTTTAGAATTTAATTTGGTTCTTAACAGTTCTGTCCTTTTTTTCAACTCTGTCTTTTATATTTTTTAAACATAATATGCACAATATTTTAAAGTTTATGTCTGATAACTCCATTATCTGGATTCCTCATGGGTCTGTTTAAGGAGGCCCATGGGCACGAAAATTTCATACACCTGTGGGGGGGGAGGAGGGGGAGGGAGGAGGGTGTCCCTCAGCCCAGCCTGCACCCTATCCAATCTGGGACTCCTTGGGTGATCTCTGACAGCCGGTTTAGTGATCGGGCCTAAACCAGCAGTTGGACATCCCTCTCACAATCCGGGACTGCTGGCTCCCAACTGCTCACCTGCCAGCCTGACCACCCCCTAACCACTCCCCTGCCAGCTGATCAACACCTAACTGCTCTCCTGCTGGCCCGATTGCCCCCAACTGCCCTGCCTTGCTGGCTTGGTCCCTCCTCAACTGCCCTCCCCTGATGGCCTGATCGCCCACAACTGCCCTTCCCTGCCGGCCATCTTGTGGTGGCCATCTAGTTGACCACATGAGGGCAGCCATCTTGTGCGAGGGCGTGACGGTCAATTTGCTTATTACCTCTTTATTATATAGGATAGTTTCTCTTGGATTTCCTGCTCAATTGTCTGGCTGTTTTGTTGTTTTTAATTGAATGTCTAGAAATAAAACATTTTAGAGATAATCTGTGGTCCAGGAAGATGATTAACTTGTTTCTGGATAACAGCAAGGGGTATTACCAACCCTAGATTTCAATCAGAGACTAGTAAAAGTCAAAGTTGGGCTTCAGACCCTAAAAGAGCAGTCAATTCCTCAACTGAGATCCACTAGCATCAGAGTCATATGGGACATAGCATAATTGGAAATTTCCAGACTTACTGATTTAATTTTGGAGGAAGACACATTTTAATAAAAACTCCAGGTAATTTTATGCATACTAAAGTTTAAAAATTACTTTATAAATAAATTCCAACTACCTTAATAAAAAAATAAATGTATGATCTCCTAGCAGACTTGTTAAGCTTGTTTTCTTTCTACCTGTGTAAAGTTTCAGTGATTTTCTGTTTTACTTTGTTTATCACACACCAATTTCAAAAAACTCCAACAAAACCTCTTTGAAAAAGTAATGACATGAAGTTGTTGGATGATCCATTTACCATTAATAATAACATTTTGTCTGTATAATATGCCACATTTATTAAGGAAGAAACGTGTACCATAAAGGTTAAAGTAATACTACAGTTTAAACACATTTGAAAATATTTCAGACACAGATTTTCCTTTACACCAGAAATAAAGTTCTTCTTCAGGGCAGTTTTATAGCTAGTCTATCCTTAAAATACTCAATTCTCCAGCAATATAAGTAACATGATAGACCTTTTTATACATATAAGGCTAACATTCCTAACAGAGAAGAATCCTAATTTTGAAATGACTATAAGAAAAAGCTGTGTGAAATTAAGGAACTTGTTGCTTATCATCAACAAGTCAACAAACAACAAATGCTGGTGAAAAAAAAGGAACCCTCATGCACTGCTGGTGGGAATGCTGACTGGTGTAGCCACTGTGGAAAACAGTATGGAGTTTCCTCAAAAAATTAAAAATGAAACTCCCATTTGACCCAGTAATCCCACTTCTAGGAATATATCCTAAGAAATCAGAAACACCATTCAGAAAGGATATATATGCACCCCTATGTTCATAGCAGCACAATTTACAACACCTAAGATTTAGAAACAGCCTAAGTGCCCATCAGCAGATGAGTGAATTAAAAAACTGTGATACATCTACACAATGGAATACTATGCTGCTGTAAAAAAGCAAGAACTCTTACCATTCGCAACAACATGGATGGACTTGGAGAGCATTATGCTAAGCGAAATAAGCCAGTCGGAGAAAGATAAATATCACATGATCTCACTCATTTGCGGAATATAATGAACAAAAATAAATAGATCCAGAGACAGAGAAGCATCAAACAGAGCATCAAACCTCAGAGGGAAGGCAAGGAAGGATTGGGGGGGAGGTGACAAGAGATCAACCAAAAAACTTGTATGTATGCATATAAGCATAACCAATGGACACAGACAGTAGGGGAGTGAGGGCATGTGCTGGGGGATGGGAGTGGCTGGGGAGAGGTCAATGGCGAAAGAAGGAGACATATGTAATACTTTAAACAAGAAAACATTTAAATTAAAAAAAATTTCTTGATTGGAATGGACTCTAAAGACATGCCACTCTCGATTTTTGGGCTGGATAAGCCATTAGTGGTGGTGGTCTGTCTGTCTGTTTTTATTTTCTCTCTCTGTATAGTTAAGAAGCTTTTTTGAATGGTTCCTAGAAATCAGAGTCTTCATTCAGATGGAACTTGCCAGAAAGCTCCGAAGTACAATGATCCTTATCCATATGATCTAATGTTTTGGGCCTTTGAATTTGTTTGGGATGAAATTGGTTCAGTCAGAAATGTAAAATGTGATGAAAATGTAAAAAAATGATTTTGCTTATTCGTAAAAAATTCTACGCATATACTAAAAACAACTGAATTTTTTACTTTAAAGGGGTTATTTTTATAGTAAAAAAAGATGTGCATTTTCAGATTAAAAAAAATTAGATTGCAATGTATTTTTTCAACTTTTATTTTCTTTCTTATTTACTAATTGTTTTGCCAAAAAAGCAGTGCTGCACATTGATTAAGAAAATAGTCAGGCTGCCTTAGTTTGTAAACTGATGTATCTCTAAAAGGCCCTGAATCTTTCTTACTTCTGTTCTCATTTCCTCATTTATAAAATGGAGATAATATTCCTCATAGGGTTTTCTGTGAGGATTAATTTAGTTAATAATGTATAGTAACCCCCTCTTATCCATGGTGGATACATTCCAGGACCCTCAGTGTATGCCTGAAACCATGAATACTAGTACTGAACCTATATATACTATGTTTTTTCCTTTACATACGTACCTATAATAAAATTTATTTATAAATCAGGCATAGTAAGAGATTAACAATAACCAATATAACCTGGGTAAGTGCCAGCAAAATGGAGCAAGAAGGTATGAGCCCTAGCTGGTTTGGTTCAGTGGATAGAGTGTCGGCCCGTGGACTGAAGAGTTCTGGGTTTGATTCTAACCAAGGGAACGTGCCCAGGTTGTGGGCTGGATTCCCAGTGGGGCGTGTGCAGGAGACAGATGATTGGTGATTCTCTCTAATCATTGATGTTTCTATCTCTCTCTCCCTTCCTCTCTGAAATAAAAATAAAATTACAAAAAAGGTGTGAGATTTCAACATGCTATGTAGAATGGCATGCAACTGAAAACTTATGAATTGTTTAATTCTTGAATTTTTCTATTTAATATTTTTGGATCATGGTTAACTATGGGTAACTGAAACCATGTAAAGCAAAACTGTGAGTAAAGAGGGATTACTTTTATGTGCTTGTAACAGTGGCTGGTATATAGTATATGATAGTTGTTATTGCACAGTATACAGTAACATTTTGCTGGTCTTTATCTCAAAGATAATTGACAAGGCTTCACAAGTCACTGAATTAACAATAAAATGTGAATTGTTCAAGAAAAACATTTCTAATCAGTTATTTTTAATATGTACCTTTCGTGCTATTGGTTCCTGACCTTCCATCAATGTATACCAGCTGACCAGTTTATTCCAGCCCTCAGTTGGCAACAGTATGTAATCCAATTCATCAATAAGATGCTCCTTAAGTGATTGGGCATCACCATCTGTAAAAGGAAAAACAAATTCAATACATAAAAAGAAACAACAGTACATACCTCTAAACACTCTGGTTGTATACATCACACATTACTTAAACTCATAAAAACTAATTAAAATATTTAAGTAAGTTCTAAAGAAAGCTCTGAAGAGGCTCACATCTAAATCTATATATTTCAAAATAAACTGTAGCTTTAAAAAGTTCCAATGTTTAACATTAGTGAAGCAACAATGTTTAAAAACATAATTTTTCTTTTATTAGTCTCTAAAAAATATAGTAAGGTATAATTGTTAGCCAAGGGGCCTCAAAAAAAAGTGTTTTCCAAATATTTTCAGTATCAGAGATCTGTCACACGGTAATAGTTGACATTCTAGCATTAGCTGATGAAGGAAAGTCAAAAAACAAATCAATAACCTTTCACAATGACTCCAAAGTACATGGGGCTAGAAACCATGATGGAAATCACAAAAGGGCATCCTGTGAATCAGCTCATTATTCCAGAAGGCCCATAATCTAGAGTCTTTCCTAGAGAAGAGTGGAAGTAGTTTTTCAGATGTGATTCTAATTCTACGATCCACTTTCAAAATTCTGTTTAAACTAAAAATTTATTACAGAGCAGGCCAGAAATCTTGAATTATACCTATATCACATAGTCCTACTTAGAGATTCACTTATTATTATCTGGTCCTTTACATCAATTTTCAAAGTACAGACACAGAAATAGTTTATTAAGTTACAGAGAACATAAAGGGGATTCTCTCATTCTGAGCCAGTCTTACATGATCAAGCATGGAAAACCAAATTGCTCTTGGTAGAATTTCAATAATAAGAACATACTATTCTTATTAGATATAAAAATATAAATTAAGCAAGAAGCAGGAAAAATGCTGAAGGGAATAAGAGAAGGTTATTTATTCTATCTAGGATCACCTCATGGTCGCCACAGAATCATACCAAATTTGAGAAAATATGTTTCATCTAGAGCAGAAATGGAAAATCTCTGGTTTTTATAATATGGACCTCAATAGCAGATGTAAATGAAGTATTACTTTTTAAACTCAGTTTTTTAAACCTTACTTGTCATTTTTAAATTCTTGATGAAAATTGAAATTTGCAACACATTTTCAGAACATTCTGAAGATGATGAGTAATCATCTATGGGTAATGTACTATGATATATAACGCAGCAGATAACCATGTTATTTCAGTCATTCCTCAAAGCAATCCTATAAAATAGGTATTTTCCTTTTAGATTCAAAAATATATTAAGGGAAATTGAGTAACTTGCCCAAGATCATATATCCAGAAAATTGCAGGTATAGTAAAAAATGTTATTATAGAAAATCCTTTTATTTCAATTAATTGTCCACTATTATGAAATATCTCCATTTTTACTAGTAAACAGATTTAGGTATTTTTAACTTGCCCAAGGTCACACAGACAGAAAATTAGTGAGACTGGATTCAAATTCTTTTACTCTATCATCCGTTTTCTTTCACTATAACAAAATGTTTCAAAGAAAACTTAGAAAAAAAAGTTTAAAATTAAGACTTCAATGCTGTTTTCCATTTCGAGAGTTGGAGTAAATGATTTTATTATATACCAGAATGTAAACAGTTATTTGTATCTAGTAGTCAAGATGAAATAATTATTTTTAAAGGGAGAAAACACCCCTAAAAACAAAATAGCTGATATCTGTTACTTTTGTGTTTACTGGTATATAATGGATATACAATAAACTGCACATATTTAAAAAGTACAGTTTGATAAGTTTTGACATATCAATAACAGTGTGAAACCATCACCACTACCAAAATGAACATATCCATCACCTGCAAAGTTTTCCTTGTAGCCTTTTGTAATCTCTCCTTTCTGTCCATCCAAGTCAACCTTCCTATTGTCAGAAAACCACTTATTTGTGCTTTGTATATGAAAATTGTATCTGCTTTCTGCTAACATAGGTAAGTCTGCATTTTCTAGAATCTTAGCTAAAAATACTATGTACTGTTTTATACAGCTTCGTTTATGCTGCATAATTATCTTGAGATCCATTCATGATTTTATGTATCAACAAGAGGCCCGGTGCACAGATTTGTGAACCAATGGGGTTCCTCAGCTTGGCCTGTGCCCTCTTGCAATCTGGGACCCCTCGGGGGATGTCAGACTGCCAGTTTCCACCTGATCCCCACAGGCCAGGCCGAGGGACCCCACTGGTGCATGAATCCGTGCACCAGGCCTCTAGTATGCATATAAGATCTTTGGTGAATCTCTTCCAACCCTCCCCCCTCTCTTCGTTCCCTTGGAGATTCATCAGTATGTTCCATGTTTCCATGCCTGTGCGTTGAGCGCCTGCCCCCTGGTGGTCAGTGTGAGTCATAGCGACCGGTCGACCAGTCATATATATGTGTGTGTGTGTGTGTGTGTGTGTGTGTATTTTTTTTTTCATTCCTTTTAATTGCTCAGTAGGATTTCATTATATAGATATACTAGAGGCCCGGTGCACAAAAATTTGTGCACTCAGGGGGGAGAGGGGGGGTCCCTCAGCCCATCCTGTGCCCTCTCGCAGTCTGGGGACCCCTCAGGAGATAATGACCTGCTGGCTTAGGCTTGCTCCTAGGTGGCAGAGGCCAGGCCCAATCCCTAGGTGCAGCCCCTGGTCGGGCTCAGAGCAGGGCCGATTGGGGAGTTGGGGCGCTGCCCCCTGTCATGCACAGAGCAGCGTGGATCGGGAGGTTGCAATGCCACCCCTAGTCACACTCAAGGTACAGCCGATTGAAGGGTGGGGCACAGCCCCTTGTCACACTCAAGGCAGAGTTGATAGGGAAGTTGCGGCGCCATCCCCTGTCACACACAGAGCAGGGCGGATCAGGGGGTTGGGGCGCTGCCCCCTGTCATGCACAGAGCAGGGCCCATCAGAGGGGTTGGGGCTCCGTACCCTGTCACACACAGAGCAGGGCCGATCAGGGGGTTGGGGAGCTCCCCCCTGTCACTCACAGAGCACGGCCCATCAGGGTGTTGAGGAGCTCCCCCCTGTCATGCACAGAGCAGGGCCCATCAGGGGGTTGAGGAGCTCCCCCCTGTCACTCACAGAGTAGGGCCAATAGGGGAGTTGGGGCACCGCCCCCTGTCACACACAGAACAGGGCGGATCATGGGGTTGGGGCGCCGCCACTGTCACACTCAGGGCAGGGCTGATGGGAAAGTTATGGCTCTACCCTATCACACACAGAGCAGGGCCTGTGGTGGGGGGAGTTGGGGCGCCGCACCCTGTCACACACAGAGCAGGGCCGATCAGGGGGTTGGGGCGCCGCCACTGTCACACTCAGGGCAGGGCTGATGGCAAAGTTATGGCTATACCCTATCACACACAGAGCAGGGCCCGTGGTGGGGGGAGTTGGGGCGCCGCACCCTGTCACACACAGAGCAGGGCCGATCAGGGGGTTGGGGCGCTGCCACTGTCACACTCAGGGCAGGGCCGATGGGGAGGTTATGGCTCTACCCAGTCACCCACAGAGCAGGGCCCGTAGGGGGGGGAGTGGGTTGGGGCGCCACCCTCTATCACCCACAGAGATGGGCCGATCAGGGGGTAGGGGCGCTGCACCCTATCACACACAGAGCTGCAGGGCGATCAGGGGTTTGGGGAGCTCCCCCCTATCAGGCACAGAGCATGGCTGATCAGGGGGTTGGGGCGCCTTCCCCTGTCACACACAGAGCTGCAAGGCGATCAGGGGGTTTGGGCGCTGCCCCCTGTCACGCTTATCCCGGTGTCAGGAGGCCTTGCGGCTCCGCTGATCCCGGTGCCAGGAGGCATATTACCCTTTTACTATATAGAATAGAGGCCTGGTGCACGGGTGGGGGCTGGCTGGTTTGCCCTGAAGGGTGTCCTGGATCAGGGTGGGGGTCCCCACTGGGGTGCCTGGCCAGTTTAGCTGAGGGCCGTTTTAAGGCTGGCGGGTGACTGAAGCTCCCAACCGCTCCTTTTTTTTTTTTTCTTTTTTTATTCTGGGCCAGCTTTAGCTCTGAGGCCTTGGCTGCTGAAAGCAGGTTTCTGGCCTTTGTTTACCTTCTGTATTTGATACAATGTTGCGGTCCGGCTGGCTGAAGCCCGGCTGACTAAAGCGGGTTTCTGGGGTTTGGTTTAACTTCTATATTTGCAACATAGTTGCTTAGAGTTGCAGCTGAGAGGCCGGCAAGTCAGGCGGGGAACGTTGGAGTCCGCAGTCACTGGAGCAAGCAAGCCTCCCTGTTCACTTCAGTGTATGGCTGCCGGCTGCCATCTTGGCTGGCAGTTAATTTGCATATCGCCCTGATTAGCCAATGGGGAGGGTAGCGGTCGTACGCTAATTACCATGTTTCTCTTTTATTAGATAGGATTTGTTTATCCATTCAGCTGTTGATGGGCATTTTGGGTTGTTTCCAGTTTTTTCTATTACAAATAACACTGCTATAAACATTTGTGTACAAGTTTCCATATGAATAAATACTTTCACTTTTCTTGGGTGAATGCCTAAGAATGGAATGGTTGGTTCCTATGGTAAATATTCTTAGTGTTTTAGAAAATCGCCAGACTATATCACTCCCAGAAAGTGTATTAAAGTTCTACTTGCTCCACATCCATGTCAACACTTGGTATGGGGTCAGTCTTTTAAATTTTAATTATTTTCATACATGTATTGTGGTTTTACTCTTCATTTCTTTAATAACTAATAATGTTGAATATCTTTGCATATGCTTTTTGAAAACTTCTCTGGTGGAGCATCTGTTGAAATCTTTGCCCACATTTTCCACTGGGCTTATTAATGCAAAGATCCAAGAATGTAAACATATGTTAGTGCTCCCCAACTTAAAAATGTCTGTATCCATTAGGAAAAACAATATACAACACAACATTCCCCCCAAAATAATAAGGTAGCACTTTCTAACTTACATTCTTCATTTAAAGGTTTAAATAATAAACCTATATTACATCATAAATGAAAAACAAAATTTGTCATGATACAAACTAATTTTAACAGAATAGTCTGAGTTCATTATATCAAATCTACAATACAAAGAAATTTTTAGTTTATCAATATATGTACATTAACATTTTCTGTGTTCCCTACATTGACTATAACATATTTGAAAGAAACACATTTACAATTTGACTGAAAGAAGAAAATAATACCTTTGAGAAGTCCAGAGTTATCAATGGGTCCAGGATATACATTTTGATCTCCCATCTGGTATTTGTCCCAACTGTCAAAGCCAACATATTTTTTCCACTGTTTGAACCAGCGACTATCAACTAGGTACCTAAAAAAGAAAAATTGGTAAAGGAAAACCTGGAACTATAGGAACAGCACAGAAGCTATTTTTGATACAGTAAACCTTCATTTTGCGGACCTCAATTTAACGGACTTTGGATTTTAATGAACAAAATTTCTGGTCTATATGTCATATGTGAAAATTAACACTTTGTTAATTTTCAAATGCTTTTAACCAAGATTTGCTTATAATTAAATTAACAGGTTATTTTTATTATTAATTCACTGTTCTTTTTAATAAATTTTAGCGAACAGGCCATATGTTGGAAAAAAACACTGTAGCAATTTCGCTGACATAAATATTACATATCTACAACTATAGCCTACATATTTAAATCCAAAAGTCACCGCTTATAAATAATGTTCGGTTAATTACTAGCACATAATCACATTGCATCGCCCTCAGTAACTGGTTCTGTTGTCACCTAGCCTGACTTTCTGCAGCAGTTTGAACACATACTGGGTGCGCTAGCCCCAGCCCTGTGCATTTGTTTACTGGGGTGACTGGTGAATGCATGTACTTACTAGATCTATTCATATAAATTTAAAATTACTGTAATACATATAGAAAAGTTTTCTGTGAAATTAAGCTTTTCATTACATACTTAATTTTAATTACACACAAGTCTACATAAGCAAAAATAGATTTTTAAATGCAATATCTCTTCATTAAAATATTTGCCAGCTGAAAATTCTAATGGTAATCATAAAAATCAAAACAAATTTTAAAATGTAATGTGATAAAATATAACAAGAAAAATGGTTCTTTTGCAAAAAACTTACAAATACCATCTGTTAATTACATATGTTTTAGTGTATCTTTTTGGGAATAAGAAAAGCAATTATTAAAGGTTTGCAAGATTGATTATAATTATTATTATCCAAGTTTTTTTTTTAAAAAAACTTAACAAATAATTAGTTTCTTTACCAAAACTGTTAATAACAACTATACTGTCTCCAACTGTTTCTCATACAGTAGTATAATCTACTAGGACAAGCCGGATTGATATATGATTGATTTTTATAAATGTGACACACCAACTATTTAACTATATTCATCTTATTTTAAAAAATTAAAAAAATTAATCCTCATTAGATAACAGTGACAGAAAAAAGTAAAATAATGGTTCTCTAATAAAGAGAGCATAAAAAAAATCATAAGCCTTAAGAACTTTACAAATTTATTCTGACTATATTATACCTACTATGAAATATTGCTTTTGTCACTGGTTCATAATTATTTTAATTCTCTTCCAAAAACATTTTCCCCACATTTAACCAGGTTCAATCACAAACAAACAAAACCAAAAGTAAAGGTTAACAAGACACGTAAACAAGTTTTTAGATCATCATTCTGATGTTTTTGTGCTTACTATATATAGCACTATCAGAATGAAAATCTCTAAAGCAAATACAGCATCCTAACAAAACACCACTATTCTTAAAGAATATTCATCAACAGCTTAATTACTTAAAAGTAAATATGGAAGAAAAAAGTGGATATGGCAGAATTTCTATACATCAATACCCCAAACCCACTATTAGGGTTATGCAAGTAAGAGCCCCCAAATCATAAAATTTGAGATTTATGAGGAAAAAATATTATGAGACTAACTCATAAAAGAATCCTATTTCTAAAATAAAATAGTTTAGATTAGCAATGAGTTTATATGTTAAATTGATAATAAAATTACACTATATTGTATTTCACCCATCAAAAAATTTTTACTTTCTCCTTTGCAATTTAAACAAGTGTTTCAGACATTTTATTTGCTTTCTTTGCAAAAAAGTCACACTAAATGATCTTTCCCTTATTCCATTCATCTTCATTTCTATCAATGTTTCAATTTCACAGTCTTAATTATTTTAATCCTGATATATTTTAAGGCAAGATCCCCCAACTTGTTTGTGTTGCAAATTGTCTTAACTATCTTTGGCCATCTGCTCTTCCATATGAATTTTAGAAACAGCTTATCAAGTTACACACACACACACACACACACACACACACACACAAAACCACCATCAAAAAACAGTTTAAGATTTTTATTGCAATTGTGTTAAAATTTATAGATTAACAATCTATCTATGTATATAAAAGCCTAAGCGACCGAATGACCAGTTGCTATGACATGCACTGACCACCAGGGGGCAGACGCTCAATGCAGGAGCTCCCACAGACAACTTCCTGTGGCCGGCAAACCTCCCGCAGTCCCTCTCTCCATTCGGCCAACCTCCCGCGGTCCTTCCCCCTGGTCAGCCAACCTCCTGTGGTCCCTTCCCCCAGATGGCCAAACCTCCAGCAGTGGCCAACTTCCCACAGCCGCTCCTCTCCGTCAGCCACCCCCCCCCCCCCATCGGCCCCGATCACCTGCGAGGCCAAGGGACCCACCCGTGCATGAATTCGTGCACTGGGCCTCTAGTAATATAATTTAAAATGCAATTTATAAAACTTACTTTAGAAATTATTAGTGGAATGGTATCAAAATTATATTTACTTAAAAGGTATTTCTAAATGATGGGGCTTTATCTCCCCAAGTATCTATATAATAAAAGCCTAAGTGACTGTTATGGTGGAACAACCAGAACAACCAGTTGCTATGATGTGCACTGACCACCAGGTGGCAGACACTCAACACAGGAGCTGCCCCCTGGCGGTCAGTGAGCTCACACACGGGGAGTACCACTCAGCCAGAAGCCAGGTTCACGGCTAGCAAGTGCAGCGGCAGTGGCGGGAGCCTCCCCCACCTCCGTGGCAGCGCTAAGGAGCAGCAAGCCAAGCAGCAAGCAGGCGGGTGGTAAGGAGTGAGGGGTCCTGGACTGCGAGAGGGCACAGGCCGGGCTGAGGGACACCCCCCCCCCCAGTGCACGAATTTTGTGCACCGGGCCTCTAGTTTAATATATTCTTCACAGTTATAGTGGAGGTTTGCACTGAGGAGTGTTCATCTGCTGTCATAACATGGTATTATTATGAGAGGAGACTCTCCCACTTGATGACTATTTGGCTGCTTTCAACACTACCTTTAATTGCAAAGGGGCATCATACTTGTATTACAGACCATCTATATCTTACTTACTGTAGTAAAGAAATACGAGAGAAGTAGAAAAAATGGGGGCATCTGTTACAGAAACAATGTGTAGTCTTCTTAGGTTTACTCACCAAAGACAATATTAGATAAGTAGTCAAATCAAAATTCATTTTAAGACATTTACATAGCCGAAACCGGTTTGGCTCAGTGGATAGAGCGTCGGCCTTCGGACTGAAAGGTCCCAGGTTCGATTCCGGTCAAGGGCATGTATCTGGGTTGCGGGCACATCCCCAGTAGGAGATGTGCAGGAGGCAACTGATCGATGTTTCTCTCTCATCGATGTTTCTAACTCTCTATCTCTCTCCCTTCCTGTCTGTAAATAATCAATAAAATATATTTAAAAAAAAAAAAAAGACATTTACATAGATTTGTTGTACTGTAAAAACTCTACTCCTAATCTATGAAACTGCCAAAATCCCAATTCCTCAACTTGACCTGACAAAAGCCTAGAACAGAACCAAGAGCTCACCAACATTACAAATGAATGAACAAAGACCTGAATTTATACATTCTCAACAACACTCTTAATCCTTGGTATACTCTTAGGGTCCAGATAAGCCCAATTTTAGCTTCTGAGTTTCTTTTTTGAATAGTTATAACTATTTGCAAAGATTGCTATTTCATAACTTTTATTCTTCACAAATAGTCATAACTATTATTTTAGGATGAAAGCTAAATTCTTAACATTGCCTAACAGGTCTTTTTTAAAATAATAATTTAATAAAGCCATAATAATTAAAATTATGATATTTTAATAAAATAATCTACACTAATAAAAGAGAAACATGGTAATTAGCGTACAACCGCTACCCTTCCCATTGGCTAATCAGCATATCCTTATGCAAATTAACTGTCAGCCAAGATGGCGGCCGGCAGCCAGGCAGCTGGAAGCGAACATGAGGCTTGCTTGCTCCAGGGACTGCAGACTCCAACGTTCCCTGCCTGACTTGCCGGCCTCTGAGCTACAACTCTAAGAAACTATGTTGCAAATATAGAAGCTAAACAAAACCCCAGAAAAAAGCTTTCAGCCAGCCGGGATCTCAGAGGTAGAGTTATACATTGTTTCGATTATAGCAGGGGAAGCCTCAGAGCTAGAGCCAGAGCTAAAGCTGGCCCAGAATAAAAAAAAAAAAAAAAAAAGAAAAAGAAAAAAAGGAGTGGTTGGGAGCTTCAGTCAATTGCCACCCTGAAAGCAGCCCTCAGCTCCTCACCCAGACTGGCCAGGCACCCCAGTGGGGACCCCCATCCTGATCCAGGACACCCTTCAGGGCAAACCAGCCGGCCCCCAGGCCTCTATCCTATATAGTAAAAGGGTAATATGCCTCCCAGCACCGGGATCAGCGGAGCTGCGAGGCCTCCTGGCACCGGATCAGCGTGACAGGGGGCAGCGCCCAAACCCCAATTGCCCTGCGGCTCTGTGTGTGACAGGGGGCGGCGCCCCAACTCTCCCCCCCTACGGGCCCTGCTTTGTGTGTGACGGGGTAGAGCCATAACCTCCCCATCGGCCCTGCCCTGAGTGTGACAGTGGCGGCGCCCCAACCGCCTGATCCGCCCTGCTGTGTGGGTGATAGAGGGCGGCGCCCCAACACCCTGATCCACCCTGCTCTGTGTGTGACAGGGGGCGGTGCCCCAACCCCCCTGATGGGCCCTGCAGGGTACGGAGCCCCAACCCCCTGATTGGCCCTGCTCTGTGCGTCACAGGGGGTGGCGCCGCAACCTCCCCATCGACCCTGCCTTGAGTGTGATAGGGGGCGGTGCCCCAACCCCCCAATCAGCCCTACCCTGAGCGTGACTGAGGGTGGCATCGCAACCTCCCAATCCGCCCTGCTCTGTGCATGACAGGGGGCGGCGCCCCAACTCCCCAATCAGCCCTGCTGAGCCCGACCAGGGGCTGCACCTA